AAGCTAGACCAAATCATATCCCTCGATTCTTCAAGTTTCATTTCAATTTGCATTTTATTATTATTTTTCCTTTTTTTCTTTTTTTTTCATCTCACTTTTTTTTCTTTTTTCATACCTCATAAAAACTGGGAATAGAAGTATAATGCAAACAGCTATTAGCTAGCCGAAAACGTCAACTTGCCAAAATATGTTTTTTATAAATCTTGGTAAGATAATTTATTGCATATTGCATTCTTCTTTTCCTATGGCAAATTTGTATCCCTAATAAATTTGACCATGATCATGCTCATTTGGCTAGACATGTCACCAACACCTAGAAAAATTGTAGCATAGAAATTTATTTAGAGCCTAATACTACCCTACAACTTTGGACCCATGAAATTTTCAGCAGATCAACTAAAGCATCAAAAGCTCAGCAGATGAGGCATTCAGCAATTCTACTATGATCAAGGCGGTTGGACTCCTTGTAGGTCTTGGACAGCAATTCCACGTACAATTCCAAATGAAATGCTCCAGATAAGCAAACCTAGCCCTTGAGATTCCTTTACTTTCTTTTCATCCTACGGGTGTGTGAACCTGAAGCTCAAATACAAGATGGCTGCTATAGCTTCGATTCTTGTTATTGTAACTGTAGGAGTTTGCTCCACTGCTTGGAAAAAATATCTCTTCCCTCACCATAAGGTGTTTTACATCCTAAAAATTATTTAAATATCAAATATCTAAATAGTCCACATGATAAATATAAGGATCTATATATGTATCACCTTAAATACATTTCAAAAATATAAAAAATTCAGTTAATGTTTTTTATAATTAATTTAGCTTGAGGGCAAGTAACATATAAGAATTCATCAAATTAAAAGATCTTTTAGTCTTTCAATGGATGATCACATGAATTTTTAATAATTTTTCGTATCATTATTGATTTTAAATGATCTAAACGATAATGTCAAATATTAAAATCATTACTAAGCTTTTAGTTTATTATACTATGAGTTTCAATAATTTTTATATTTTGTAATATAATCTAGATTCAAATAGCAGGTAATTTTTTTAACACACTTCTTACTCGAAATAATAGATGTTTCAATAATTCTTATATTTTGTAATACAATCTAGATTCAAATAGCAGGTAATTTTTTTAACACACTTCTTACTCGAAATAATAGATGTAATATAAAGATATTAAGTATATCTTTCATTCATTATCTCAATGTGATATCTATTTAGATAAATATCTTTAGAACTTAATAAATTTTTTTAAAATTTGTTCATAAAATATTGACTCTTCCAGAGCCTCAATTAATCTTGTACTACTAAATATTGTATTGACATCAACTTCTTTTATCTTTAAATATAATATGTGTTGAAACACTGTTGACATATATATGCATTATTTATCTTCGATTGAACCAGATAGATATTCATATTTTAAAATAAAATATATATATAGTAAAAAACTTGCAAGTTAATTATAAATATAAATTTATTATTAATATGCATAATACGAACGTATCATTTGAACGTAACAAAAACATATAAACATCTTCATAATAAAGTTATACTAAAACATATTAACAAACTATTAAGAAATTTTATTTTTGGATATTTACATCATCAATCAGATGATCAATTCCTCTTTCATGGTGAATAAAAAAATTAACAACATCTCAATGTGTTATATCAATTTAGCCATTGTTAAAATCATCTTGAACAAACTTTATTTCAATACATATTTTTTCTTCTTAACTTTCAATGATATTTGATAAAGTTCAATAAGATGTTTCAGCGTAAAACAAGTATGTAACTAATGGCCTTTCATACTATATCGATGATAGACATTTTTTATATTCTTTTTATTTTATCTATTTTTATCTTTTTCTTGTTTCTCTTCAGTATTCATCCACTTCGGTTGGTTAATTGTACTCATCCACTTTTTGTGATTAAATGTATTCTTCTACTTTTTGTGGTTAAATGTATTACTACTGTTAGATTAATGATTACTGTAATGCTACAATTACAATTATTATGTCGACATTTCTTACGTCCATAATGATGATTTTTCATTAATCGTTCATTATTTTTTTCAAGTATAAAAACATGAAATCCAAAACAAAATGTACTTTCAGATTACCTAAAGTATATTATTTTTCACTTGTTATAAAATAAATATCATACAAAGTCAATTTCATATATTCAATTCCAAATGTCTTATATAAAATCTCATAGTATCAAAGATAAATTTACATATACAAATATAATTATATTTGAAATTTAAAACAAAAAAATCATACATTGAGCAAATTATATTCTAATATCTAAATAAAGAGATAATATATACTTATTTATATATTTACATGCTTAATCCAATTTAATAAATTAAGAGACCAAATATTATATATACTACTTGATTACAAATTCGCATTCCGATTTAATTAAATAAGAGACAAAATATAATATATATTATACGATAATAAATTCACATTAAAATTAATTTTTAGAGATGAAAACACTAAAAAGATATTAAATCACTGACAAAATATAATATATACTATACGATAATAAATTCACATTAAAGTTAATTTTTAGGGATGAAAACACTAAAAGATATTAAATCACTTTCCTAATTCAATTAAACTAAAAATCAAAAACCAACAATTGAAATCTTTTTAAAACTTTTAAAGCTTAAAGAAATTGCTTTTAATGCTTAGAGAAATTGAACTTTGACTTTGTGATGATGATAATGAAAATTAAGTGATATCAAAACTTAAAACAGTAAAAAATCGTGTGGATAAAAATATTAATAAAGTAAAAAGATCTTATTTTAATGTGTATTTACAAATAAAGTGAGGGTTTATTTATAAGCTAATAACTTTATCTAGATAGATTTATAAAATAAAAAATAACTAAAGGATTTGATTTAGATGAATTAAATCGTAATATTAATATAATTTAATTTACATTTAAATCTAAATATACATAAATATAAGAGTTCAAATTAAATTAAACTTTTATGTCTGACATGCTAAACTATTTGACATGTGTTAATGGTCTGATATGATCTAAAATATTGAATCATGATATTATAAACATTCACACATACATTCATAACTGTATTAATTTTTATATTTTAAAACATTATGGCATATTATCAATTACATCGTTGATGAAACGACATAACATGGAGTGCGAAGATCCACCATCCATCAAAGCCTTCCTACTGTGTTCGCTCATTTCCTTTGCTCTGTTCCTAACATCGCTATCGTGCTCCATCAAACACCTGATTCCTCTCTCTATATTCTCAGCACTCACAATTTCCATGACCTCATCGATGAACCAAAAATCTTGCCTGTAATCCATTTTAATCTCCACCCCTAATCCCAGCTCCATCACCATTTGAAACGCATTCTGCTGTTGCTCTGCGTAAAGAGGCCACGTGGCCATTGGCACTCCGAACCATATACTCTCCAGCGTAGAATTCCACCCGCAGTGGGACACGAACCCTCCAATCGCTGGGTGGTCCAAGATGGACACTTGTGGGGCCCATCCAATTATCTTACCAATCGTGGCCGTCCGTTCTAAGAACCCTTCGGGCAACACCTCTGCCACGTTCTCGTAATCAGTTGGGCATAACATCATATCTTCGACTGGGGGTTGGCGTAGGGACCACAAAAATCGGTGTCCACTCTGCTCCAGTGCGCTGGCAATCTCTTTCACCTGATCCCCACCAAAGCTCCCTCTGCTCCCGAAGCAGAGAAACACGACCGATGAAAGAGGTTGTTCATCAAGCCATTTCATGATGTCAGAATTCTTATGGACCCCACTTGCACTCTTGAGATTCAATATTGGTCCCACAGGGTAAACCGCGGGGTAGTTACCATCAGAAAGGGAGTCGACGGCATAGTATTCAAGCTCTGAAAATGTATTTACCATGATACCCTTGACTCTCCTAAGCTCCCTTGACATATCGTGGAACATAGTTACAGTTTCGGGCTTGAGCATGACGGTGGGAAAGAATTTTGCAGAAACTGGGTTAACATAGGAGGGTATGGTGAACTCAGCGTCCGAGCCTTTTAACATGGTGATGTCAACGTTTTGCTCATCATGAAGAGCTTGCATGTAAAATTGGAAGCCAAGGAAAGCTGCACTCGACGTGTAAAAAACATAGCTAGGAACACCAAATTCGTTAGCCAAATCTACCAAAGCAGTAAAAAACATGTCGAGAACCAACCCAGCGAGTCGAGGTGAGTCGGGCACGCAGCTGGAGTAGTGAACTATCTTGGCGACGGCCTCTTTTATGTGGGGCCTCTGGCTTTGTATTACAGTAGTCATGAACTTGTTGGGACGAATACCTTGTAGGGTTTCATCTTGAGGGAGGTTGATAAATTTGATGCGAGTGGAGATGGTATCGGTATCGGCAATGAGAGAGTCGACGTAGGCGGTTAAATTTGGGTCGTAAGGTGGCTTGATGATGAGGACGGTGATGGAGAGGTTGGAATTGAGATCCACCAAAAGCTTAGCCACTGCCACTGTCGATACCAAATGGCCCATTCCAGGCATTGGGACGAATACCAGCTCTGCCTTCTTCATCGTTTGCACAGAAAGTGATGTAACAGCGACGATGAGATAAATATGGTCCTCTTGGTTTTTGGTTGATGTAGTTTTGAAGGCAATAAATATAAGTGTTAAGAGTGTGATGTCATTTCTTTGCTGGGTTTTTTGGACGTCTGATTGTACGTTATCCGTCCATTCTTGTGGTTTTGAAAAGCCTTGGAAGTTGCAAGTGTGAGATTTTTCTAGACCTTATCGACAAATAAAAAAGAATCTTTTTTAGTGAAGATCTGGTGGCTAAAACCAACGCATTCAGTTAGAAGTCATAACTAGATAAAAAAAAAAAAAAGAAAGATCTGAAGTGCTTCTCAATATGATAACTAAGGTGCGTCAAAGCTTAGTCAGTTGAGAAACATGATTAAAAGAAATGCTAGAAGTCATTGCCCAGTTATTCTGAGCCCAAGAGCATTGCAAGAATTTTATTCAGTTGAGGAAAAGGCATCCTGAAATAGAATTAAAGAACACGTTGAGGGAAATTGAGCTTCGCTATGAAATATCTACAACATGCTAGCCAGTCTATCACTTCACTTTCCAAGTGCAACTTAGGGCAACATATGCCAGATGTTGCACGTTTGAAACTCACCATCAACATTGCTCCAAAAAATAGATTACTTTTGGATTCTTAGCTCACTACAAAGAGAAGTTACACATACCCACTCAATGACACATTCCCAAAACTGGCACAGATTATAATTGCTGAAGGCTCTAAACAAAAATGGTTCCCATGGCAGGCAAAGCTTCCAAAAAGAGTCTTCGCGACTGTGCATTGTCTAAATGGGAGATTGGAGATTTCCATGCCGTCTTCAAGTTTGCACTTTCTATTATTATGGCAAACTGTTTATTACTACAAAGAATTAAAGTGGGATAGGTCATATACTGTGCTGCAACTCTATATATAAACAATCATGTGTAAGTATTTAGATGATAACAATGAAATCAGACTCTTTTAAAAAATTGTAAAACGAAATCCCATGTTTTCAATGACGTCAAGTTGAAATTACAAAATTTAAACTTAAGCTTTGATTGCAAAAGTAAAACTTGTTATGGCACAATAGTATAGCTGTAGTCATTGAAGAAGGTGGCCTTTGGGCAACTAACTAGATGCATGCGGTACTCCTGCATTTTGAACAAATTTGTATAGAGAAAATGCTTTCAAATAAGAAACACTTGTTCACCCAATGAAAACTGGAAAGACAAAGAAATAGAACACGCCTTTCCTGCGCATTGCTTTCCCCAACAAATCATGATTTGTACTCTGACTGTAATAACAATAAAAAGACATGCTCTTTGATCTAGTGTTTAAACGTTTTAGCTATGTATATTAGTTCAAAATACTCCATTCATACTAAATAACATGATAAAAAGAAGGCTACAAAAGGAAAGAAGGAAAATGGCAATGTCTTTTCGGTTTAGACCAGCTCATTTTGTGCAATGATGTACTATCTATATGAGAGAACCTGCACAGCAATTATCTATCTTTCTCAAGTGTTACAAATGTGCTTTAGAGGTCATCATATAGTTTCACCAACATCCAGCCTAAGCAATTGCACAAAATAAAAGAATTAATGAATTCCTGAACATACACACACACACACATACACAGCCAAAATGCTATAGCTTATTTATTGAAATTAACCCACTATGCCAAATTATGATCAATGGAAAATTCAAAATTTTACTTTTTGTAATAAAAAAAGGAAAAATCACTGAAAGCAATTTACCATACGCTGAAAATGAAGAATACATATTCCATGTACAGGTATTAATGAGTAAAACATTTAGTTACCTCTTGGATCAGCATAACCATCTCAACACATCTCTTTATTGGAAGCTTTTCCCTCTTCTATTTCAATAGAAAACAAAGAAAGGGCAGCTGATGTTCTCAGTTAAATCTTGGAATTAAAGCTTAGAACTTGCTACCTGCAAATGTGGAAAACAGGATCATGACAACAGCGTGGAAGCAATAAATACTAGAATTAAAAGGTGAGGTTTCATTGACAAGGTACTGTATGAGGTGCTGCCTATGAAAGTTTGCTATATCTCTCTGGGAAGTCGATGGTTATGCAAAAGGGCAATAACATACAGCTACGAATTTTACAGGCTGGATAAATTACTTAAACACTAACCTTGCGGATGTTGTAAATTCAGCATTAAAATTTTTAACTTCGACCCACATCTATTTCACCAGACAACAAGTAGATCCAAGACCTCTGAACACTAATGCTTTTTCCTATCCTAAAACCTGACGTTTACTTAGCTTAATCCACTATGACACAGTGTAGACAGGTTTCATACATTGTACATGAAAGGATAAAATGAAACTTATTTATTAAATGCCTTATCCAACCTGCATATCAGGCTGTTCCTATGATGGGAACACACAACCTACAAAAGAACCATGGTGTTTCTATATCACCCTATACTTTATTTAATAATCACACCAACGTTGTCGATTCCTTCCGTAAGAGAAATCCCTTGTTTTCAGTCATATGCGTACCTTGTTAACAATTTTCTTGCCTCATCCCTTGAGCTCTCCTAAGGTGTCTTAAGGAGAGAGATGCTTGTTACAAAATTGAACAACAAAGATGAGCCCAATTTCATTATTTGACCAGCTTGAAATCTAACCAGCCCAGTCTTCAAGGCTAGAGTAAAACACAAAACACCATGTCAAGGGATTCTGCCACCAGAGACTGACAACCTGCTCAAATAAGCACTAATTTGCTCCAGAAATTTTAGCCAGTCCCATTTATCAATAAAGCTCCAAAATTTCAAATTGGAGAAACAGTCCCAAAATACGTAACATATCCTTAAAACAAACCCAAATAAAGTAGACATACACCAGCCGATCCACTTGCCTGTATCTAGAGCCAAAAGATGTTTATCTCCCCTTTGTAGTCCTAAGGTGCCATCATAATCCACAAGTTATGTTCCTCTTCACTCATCAAATTCAGAAATCCCAAGGAGACAGGAATTCTTCTAAGTATTTATTAATAATCAGCATCTTTCATCTTCTTGAACAGTCCTAACAATTTATATATCTCATCAGATTGGGGGTGCTCTTGGTCCTTAGAAGCAAAGTAGTTCACACAACCTGCAACGTCAATCCAACTACATCCAACATCCTTTCTAATACCCTTTTCCTTCATTTCTCTCCTCACTCTGTCAACATTGTCCCAGTTTCCTTCCTCTGCATATAAATTTGAGAGCAAAACATGATAGCCTGTCATGCTATTTCTTATATCCATTTGAAGCAACTTCTTGGCCACAACTTCACCCAAGTCAAATTTTTGGTGAAGTTTGCAAGATGCAAGAAGTGATCCCCAAATCTCCACAGAATTACCTTCTTCACCTAATTGTTCAACAAACTCATAGGCTTCAACCACCCTTCCAACCTTCCCTAGCATGTCAGTGACACAACAGTAATGCTCAGTTGAGGGATGGATCTTAAACTCTTTCTCCATTGACCTAAATATTTGAAGGCCCTCATCAACCAATCCAGCGTAACCACAAGCTGATAAGACTGCGACAAAGGTAATGGCATCAGGCTGAATGTTAGATGCCTGCATTGAGCGAAACAACGAGAGAGCCCTCTCACCCATTCCATGTTGACCATAACCCAATATCATTGTAGTGTACGTGACAGCATTTTTCTCATGGATATCAAAAAACATGTTTTCAGCTAGCTTGATGGCACCAGATTTGGAATACATGTCAACTAAAGCAGAGCCCACAAAGACATTTTGGTCCAACAAATTACGAACAGAAAATCCATGAAGTTGCTTACCTAAATCTGCATTTCCCATTAGACTACAAGCTGGGAGAACTGATGCCAATGTAACAGCGTTAGGCATCACATTTTGCTGGAGCAATTGTTTAAAGACAACAATAGCCTCTTCAACCAGCCCATTCTGTGCAAGACCAGCAATCATAGCATTCCACGTGGCTTGATCCCTATTGCAGGAATTGCTGTTTTCAAAATGTAGTTGTGAATTCCTAATCAAACCAGACTTAGCATACATGTCTATAATATAACTATCCATCCCCTCAAACTGAATGCCATGCCTAAGAAGATAAGCATGGGTCTGTTTTCCAATGTTCCAGTTTCTAAGATTTGATGCTGCTGAAAGCAGAGCAGTTACAGTCACAGAATCAACCAAAAAACCTTGCTTCTGCATCTCATATACAAGTAACAACCCTTCATCATTAAACCCATTCTGTACAAAAGCAGAAACCATAGTATTCCAAGAGATGACATCTCTTTCAGGCATCTTATCAAAAACTTCGAATGATGTGTGGATTGAGTTGCACCTGGAATACATGACAAGTATTGCATTGGCTACAATAACTGGCAATTTGCTTAAATTCTTAATTATATAGGCATGTAGCTGCTGTGCCAAGTCCAACCATTGCAACTGTGAAACTGCACTTAAAGCTGAGAGAAAAGTGACATCATCGAAAACAGTTTCTGACTCCATAGCTTGAAGAAAAAGCTTAATTCCTTCAACTGGACAATTATTTTGAAGATACCCTCCAATCATAGTGTTCCAAATCTCGATATTTCTCTGTGAGCAATTGTCAAAGATCTTCCTAGCAAAATCAAGGCAACCAAGCTCTGCAAACATGAAAATCGCAGAACTAGCAACATACAAGTCATCAACACACTCACTTCCCAACTTGAGAAGCATACCGTAAAGAACTTCAGCATTATTATAGTCCTCTAAACCGGAAAAAGCGGGGAAAACATTAACAAAACTAACTGCACTAAGTCTTATCCCCATTTTCATCATTTTCTTAAACAGTATAACTGCTTCCAAAAATCTCTCCGTTTTTGTATACCACAAAATCATAGTATTCCAAGCAACAACATCTCGCTTACGCATCATATTAAATATTGCACATACCAAATCATGTTTCGAATAGTCAAAGCCCTTAATATAACCACCCATTTCCTTATTATCCGAAGAACTCAAACAAGTAGCATAAAAATTCAACAAAGCATTATACACAATCCTACTGGGGTTTGTTAAACCCCGAATAAAATGGCAATGAACAGCTTTACCTATGCGTAAATTGTGCAATAGAGTGCAAGCTTTGAGGACAGAGGAGTAAGTATAAGAGTCACATTTGGTGTGAGGGGAGGAATTCTTCATGTGGGAATAGAGAAAAAGGGCTTCTTGGGGCATGTTGTTGCAAATAAAACCAATGATGATGGTGTTCCAAAGAACTGTTTTTGGTTCGGCAATTGAGTCGAAAATTTGGCGGGCGAGATGGGGTTGGCCTTGTTGGCATATTTGGCTGAGGCGGGAACGGATGGAGGGAGTTCTGAGAGTTGGATTAGGGGGTGGAGAGGAGATGATGGCTTGTGAAGAATACGAAAGGGGATCAAAAGGGTTATTGTTGGTGGTGGCGGCAATGGCTCTTGAAGGTGGGGAGAGTGGGAGATGGAGAGCAGAAGAGGCCATGGGGTGATAAAGATAATTTCTTGGTTGTGTGCCTCTCTGTTCCTGAACGTATATATGCTTTGATACACTGTTTAGCTGTTTAGTTGGTTGGTGGTTAAAAGGCCGTTGGGTCAATCTATCCTGTTGTCCGACTTTATTAAAAATAAATGTTACCATTTTTTTAAAAAAAAAATATGTAATTTATTAGTAATTGTCATTGTCAAAATAAACTATAGGCTTTTACCAATAAAAAATAAAAATAATACATAAAAATTAAAACCTCAAGAGGTATGGACCCAATTTAGAGACATTGCATACAAACTTAATCTATGAATCCAACTTCTCCTTAAGCCCATCTAATTAGGTAAGGAAAAATTCATACTCGTACTCAATAGAAACTCTTAACTCACTCATTGTCTAGATATATTCAGTCTTCAATTAAGTCTTTCTTAACTCACTAATTGTCTAAATATATTCAATCAATTAAGTCTTTCTTAACTTTTATCTCAATAGTAGGCTTTTAAGTCAATTTTATTACATAGTGTCTATGTCACAAGGAAAGTACCTCAATTCCACATCAGGCAAGAACGGGAAGTCTTGGGCTCCTTATAAGCGGTGGTGCTGCACACCCCTATAGACATGTTTATGGGAGAGAGAGTAATGACCCCGTGACAAAGTTGGTATCAAAGCAGACCGGTCCTCGTTCTGACTCACGCCAAGCGTCCGGCCCGGTGGGGCTGGCCCAGTGGGGCCCAACGGGGTAGGCAGGGTGGCCGACGGCAGCGAGGACGCTTGCCGATTCGGGTGGGTGAGAGTGTCACAAGGAAAGTGCCTCAATCCCACATCAGGCAGGAACGGGAGGTCCTGGGCTCTTTATAAGCGGTGGTGCTGCACACCCCTATAGACATGTTTATGGGGAGAGAGTAATGACCCCGTGACATCTACATCCCTTTAAATCACTTTTAGTTGCTGTCCAAGAAATAAACCATTATTTGCATCCTGTCCCACCTCCATTACATATGTGTTCAAATCCCTGTAAACCACTCTTTGTTACTGTTCGAGAAGCAAACCACTATCCACATCTTGTAGACCAATTAATCAGTGTCCGCATACAACCTTGTCTGAATAAATTGAGAAAAAATATTCGGTCATCCCACCAACTCTATTTGCACACCAACCTAATCTCCACAAGCCCCCAGAGTTCTTGTTTATTTAAATACAACAGGCAAACTTCCTACTCTAACAAAACTCAACAATTTAAAATTAATTTAATCTACCTAATCTATAAAACTCATCACAAAACTCAACCCAATAATATATTAACTCTATTCTTCAATTTAACTGAACTTCTCCACCTACCCTCCAACCTCCAAAACCCTTTCACCTACACTCCTATTTCAAATCAAATTGCATCCCCATTTAAAAACTCATAACCCATATCAACCTCTCATCACTTACTATCTCCAGTTTATTCATATTTTTTAAAACAAACGTTTAAGAAAGTGCATCTCTCCTTTGAATATCAACTTTTGCCAAAAGATCAGCTTCTTCATTAGTTTCTCATCGCCACACGTCAAAATAGAACTATCTAAAGATCTGATCACCTCCCTCTTTCCTTTCCATTGCAGCCACCATTTGAATAAAAGGAATTCTTAAATGTCAAACCAACCACATTACCAACATCCCATGCTATTTCAACCCCTATCAAATTAGTATTAGAAGTAAGATATTTATACAAATCGTATATAGATTCATCAATAACTTCCTTCACCCATTTATTGCTGTGTAAAACCTTACCTCTTTACTGTTTGACAATTTGTCACAACCTTTCTTATCCTTAGGTCTCTAAGTTTTTTTATTATACTTCCCTCCTCCACTTTATCTCCTAACTCAGCATCACTTTCATAAATGTCACTTCCGACGTGAATCATAACTTGCAATTTATCATCTCTAATTCGATCTCATCTTTCTTTTTCAGTTGCAAACAATTCCACAATCTCTTCACTAGTATCATTCTCACCCAGATATTATTTTTGCATTATTATATCTGCCTCTTTTAAACTAGATAACCACATGGTGTTTGATGTAAAGTCCTTGTGAAGAGACCTTGGTGCTTCCAACTATGCATATTTACTCAAAAATTCTATATTTAAAGGATTTAAATTTAAAGGACTTTTATCTAGACAAGAACACTCTACAAAATTAAATTTTCTCTTTTCATTACATACTATAATAACATTATTACCTAAACATTCCTCATTATCTAGATTCAAACTCTTATCCCCAGTATTTACTACCTTTCATTCACAAGAGTCCATTCTGACATTCTCTCCTTAAAGAGTTTTTCCTAATGGCTTTGTTTTCAATTCCACCTTTCAATAAATATGCCTGAATTTAAACAACCTTGTCCAAATTCCGATAGCCCTCCATTTTATCCCTTGATCTAAAAAATGGAATAGATTTAAAATTTAAATCTCGCTTCATTCCTAAATTAGGTTTGAATTTTGAACCTATCTGCTCCCCTAAATCTGTAAATAATCATGTAAAAATATTTTCCATCAAGATATCATTTTGACTGCCAACATTATTACATTTATGCCAAATCCCTCAAAATTGTGTCCTTTAGGACTCTAACCTCTCTTCTAGCTCTTGATTTTGAATTTCAAATGATAGTTGGGATCCACCAACTAGACATGCCCTATCATTAGAGTCAAACGTTCCTTTTTTGTGTAACATCCTGCTCTGCCCACCAACTACTACCACCTGAATCAGATGCCTTTAACACTTCCAATATCAAAGTACGTATTTTATATCGCCATCACCTATATGTAATGTTGTGAAAGCCAAAATGCTGCTTACTTTTCTAACTTTAACAAGGATGCACCCAAAAGCAAATATGCTCAATCTAATATTACAAATTCACTCCATTTATCCCCTAAAGCTTTAAAAAGATTGTAATGTCAAATATGCAACAGAACATCTTTTACTTTCAATATGCATTGACTATTCACCCTTCACAATCTCCTTAAAGGTACCAGGTAGGCTCTAATTAGACCTGTCAAAATGGGCTTGGCCCATCGGGAATCACCCAAAAAGACTCGTGGGAGCCGGAGGGGGGTGGGCAGGGCCGCAGGGGGGAATCGGGACTCGTGGGACTGTGGGAGCCTGGGAGGGGGGCAGGGGGGAATGGGCAGTAGTAGAAATAATTTTTTTTTGAAAAAAATGGGCTAACTCGGCCCGGTCCATGGACTAACAAGGGGTGGGTTGGGTTGAACATTTTGTAACCCATATAAAATATGGACTGGCCCGACCCTGCCCATATTTTTTCAGCCCACAAAGGCTAGGGCCGGGTTAAGCCGAGCCGACCCATATTGACAGGTCTAGCTCTGATTTACCACTGGTTTATCAAAAAACAGCAAAGGCACTATATCCTTTTTAACCAGCAATCATCTTTCAACTATGTACAGCACAATACCACCCCTAATAGCCGCCTTTAGTTCCATTTCTTCCTTAAACCTAACAAAAGCAAAATTATACCTTCACCTAGACGCACTATCTGGCACAAAAACATCAACCACTACCCCGAATTCATCAAAAACCTTTTTAATTTTAGCCCAGGAAACTCCTTTTGTGATATTATCCACTTGTATACAGAGATTTCCTACACCGCGCCAACTCTAATTAACCACAAATCCTTGTTCCCTAAACTTGTATCTCAAAAAATTTTAAATTACCCAGGCATGAGAGTAAAATTAAAACGTAAAAAATGTTCCTTAATAATTCTATCAAAGCAGAATAGTAGACCTTGAAACAAAGAAACAAAGAGTTGGTAACAAATCTGAAAAAAAAAAACAAAAGAAAATGAATTTATAGTAAGTACTCACAAGAGGGATGGACTTTATTCTTTCTTTTGGGTCTTTTCTAAAAAAAAAAAAAGAACAAAAACAAATAGAGTTGGACTTAGTCTCTTTTTTTATGAAGAAAAGGTAAAATTTTTGTTAAATAGAACAATAACAAGAATTCAATCTTAGATAAAGAGATAGAAAAATATCCATAACCTCTCTGGTAATTTTATTTCCTTTATTTTAGAAGAGAAAGAAAAAGATGTCGAAGCAAAAAGCGATGCAAAGAGACCGTGTGCAAAGCACGGGTCATATTCTAGCAGACTTAATTCAAGCCATCCACAACATTCGCCAACAGCAATGGAGTGTCCAAGTTCATCCTATTTATAGGGAAGCCAATAGAAGCCAATAGAGTCGTTAATTTTATGGCCAATGAAGGGTTCTCTATTGCTTAGAATTTCTTAGCTTATAATAGTCCACCTGATATGTCTAGGAACTATTGGTTAACGATGTAATTGGTGTTTGTTTCCCTTATTGGATTAGGCAATAAAAAGTCTTTCTTTCCCTGAAAAAAAGGTTGAAACCCTTTTGAATAATTTGAGCACTTGAAGTTGAGTTAACTTAAATCGAGTAATTAAATAAAGTTTAAAATTAATTTCTCGCTTATGATATCGCAGCATATAATATTTGATATTTTTACGTGAACTGAATCAAAGCTTTGAAACAATTTATTGGTATTTTAATTGCCATTTTATCACTGCAATTTCATTATCATTAATTTTTTCTTAATTTTTAATTGGTTGTGTTCTATTTAATTGATATTTATTTTGTTTTAAATATTTTTATTATAGTCTTCCAATCGAGCAATGATTACTCTCTTTTTTAAAAAATTTTGTTGTGTATAAATTGACATTAAGAGACTTTTTGTATGTATAAATAATAAATATAATTGAAGTCCTTGCTAACTTTTTATTACCATTCATTAAACATAATGTAATTGATAATAAGCATGTACTTGAAAAAGATAATAGCATTATTATTTTAACTCTTTTTTTCTTGGTTCATTATTTAAAATATAATCTCTCTTATGCTTTAAATTAATCAATCTCAGATTGTATGCTTATGTTTTGTTTTTTTTGGGCCAAGATTGCATGTTTATGTTTCAAGTATAAGTTTTATAACTTGAATTCCTCCCATCCCAGCCACGCAACACTTAAGAGGTCCAACCTCTTTTACAAGTTTTGTGTATCATTTTCCTTTGCCAAATTTGTAAGCCAGCAACAGTTTCAATTTTACTTTTCTTTGAATAGAACCTTTTGAGCAAGTGAGCTTCATCAATTACTAAATATGTCTTGAGATTGCATGAAAACCTTCCCTTGATTGTCTAACATCTTATCCAAAACAAATGCCTTTAAATTCCAGAGTTTTCTTTTATTTACATGTAATATTAAATTACACAATTGTAGTTAATATCTGAGATATCTCTTTAAATTTTTTAAAATTTTGATAAAATCATCATCATAAATTTTATGAAAAATTATCTTATATATACGTCCATATAGAGTATTTGAACTCCACAATTAGAGTTAGAAGGTTGATATGTGTCATTATAGTATATGTAAAAAAATTAATAACTTTATTAATTATTAGAATAATAACCCCAACTTTGTTATAAGGAAAAACGGCAACTTCATCAAAATCTTCTTATCAATTGAAGGTTATTTTTAGCCATCAATGTTAATTAGTTGAGTGGCAAAGATCCAAATTAATTTGTGCCACGTCCATAAAAAGTTGGAATAAATTAAATTGTTAGGGCAAGTAGTATTATTCCATTATATTATTATTACAAGAATTATTTAGGGATCACTATCAATGTTGAGTAAGGTTGCTAATTATTGTAGGATTGCAACCACTGATCCCCATCAATATAAGAGGTATTAAGGAAAATTGAAGCTTGAGTATCATTCAGCATTTGAACGTAAGGGACTCTCAAAGTCGTGTTAGCTCCGTCACCCGTGCAATTATACTCTCCGTAGAAGATGGTCCTGCATTGCGTTCATAAGCCAAAAGCAAATTTAGTCGGTAATGTGTATACGTTAGAACTAACATATAGTCAAATTAACCATCAGTGTTGCAGTCCATACTGGTCTCTTGCAGGATCGTTGAAGTCATTCCAACCCACTGGTGCAATAATATTTGTCATGGATGTCAAAGCAAAAACCACCCGCGAGAATGGTCTCCATGCTCGACCTAGCCATATTCTTCCTGTTCCTCCCACGCTACAATTCACGAATGCAAACCCGGTGTTCTCATCCCCGGAAGCTCTTCCATGTGCCGTAACGGCTCCATTTATGCCTTTGGATCCCGGAGCAACGGGGTTTGCTATGGAAACCAACTGGCAATTCTGTTCCAAATGTGTATTACAAGGGGTTAAATTGAATTGTTATACAGGTTTTGGTTTCGCAAGGTGACCGGACTGGACTGGACAGCCGAGAGGACATATGCAAGTTGTAAAATGCAGTTTAGATTGCTTCACAGTAAGCATTACCTCATATAGAGACCTTCCATCCCCAAAAATGAAGTCGATTGAGCCCTGTATATAGCAATCCTTGAAGTAATGGCGACCTCGGTCGTCATGAAGTGTGTCTTGAGCTCCAAAGAATCCGCAACCCCAGAAGGCTGCTTGGTCTCCTGCTATTCTAATTGCCACTGCTTGTGCCCCATCATCACCTGGACGTGGGATAGGAGCTACATTCTGCCATAAATACATGATAAAAGCTCGAATGCATTATTAGATAGCACAGATTTCATTTCTCTTTTTATTTATGTGTTCTGAGCTACTTTTCTTATATATATATATAAATAAATAATTCATGTCATCTTCATCGAGAGCAACATTTAATCTTTATTCGTAATTATAATTAACAAATTTTTTATAGTTTTATTGAAGTATATTATGTCTCACCATGAAGCTAATGTTCTTAGCAATAAAGTTGGCGGAGAAAACTTGAACAGAACCACTATAGAAGGTGCCATTAGCAGAATTGGCAGTGTCATTCCAAACAACTGCAGTTGATGTATAGCCTTGTCCTTGAAATGTAATATTGGGTTTGGTTTTTGGAATAGTGACTTTCTCACTGGAAAAAGCAAAGGCATTGCATTCAGGCTTAGGAATATGACCCAAAAGGAAAAAAGAAAAGAGAAAAAAGAGTTCATTAGAACTTGGAAAGGACAGCAGCTCACTAGTAAATGCCCGAATTGATCCATATTACGGTTCTTTTCTTGCTAAAGTTTGCAACTGCATCAACGGCTGATTGCACTGTCGTGAAGTTGCAACACCCGTTTCGATCAACACAAAGCGTTAACGTTCTGTTGGTTTCAGGAGGTGGAAAGTTTGGTGGGAAGTCATCACAAATTGATCCTGTTTTGCCCTTATCAGGGTGTTTACGATGATGTCGATGTAGGCCGTCGAAGTAAAATGGAATGAATGTTGCAATGATGGATGAGGATGAACAAGAGGTTATACTAAAATCAACAAGATATTTGAGGAACTGAGGGCTTGGATTTATGACAACTCTGGATGCAAAAACAGCAAAAATGGCAACAAGAACAGTGGAAAAAATGCTTTTGGGACTCATTGGTTTTTTTTTTCTTATGGGATGAGGGGAGAGATAAGGAATAGGAGATATATATATATATATATATATATATATAGTTTAAAGGGGAGGATGCATAAGCATGCACTTGAAGTTTAAGGGTAGATGGCATGCCTTGCAAATCACCCTGTCCTTTGGTAAATTCTTGTTAGAATTTCCAACCTACCAAACATAAGCGATGACCACCCAAAAAGAAAAAAAAAATGTGGACCGGGACAAGTTTAGACTTCACATTTTCATGCTCCTTGTTCGGGTCCACTCCCCAGGCCCAATTCTGCCACTGCTAACCAACAAGTGCGCCTACGCCTTAAGGTTTTCCAATTTAATTCACCAAATTTTGTCCATTGGAATTGATAATTTATTTCACATCTCTCAAACATCCATCGCTCTCTCCTGATGAGTCACGAGAATGATGGTTTATTGAGAAAGAAAATGAAAAAGAGTCAACAGTGTACACCCACATTTTGTTGGCAAAGGATTCATTTATTACTCTCCATACTTGCTATCATAGTTTATTTAAAAAGAAAAAAGAAAAGAGTCAACATTATACACCCATATTATGTTGACAAAGGGTTCATTTGTTACCTTCAGTACTCGCTATCATGGTTTATTTAAAGTTCAAAAGAAAAGAATCAACATTATATAACGTTCTTATGTTGACAAAGGGTTAAAGGATGTTTATCAATAGTTCAGCACCTTCTTTCTGCTACGCAACGAATGTTAAAATGTCATTTGTAATTCACCCTCTTTATCAATGCTCGCTTTAATTTTCTTATCAAACTCGCTTTCATAGTATATTATAAAGAAAAAGTAGCTACAACATAATTATTCACCAATATTCTGTTGACATAGAGTTACAAGAGTTAGCAATAACGAAGGAGAACGAGAAGTAAAGCTCACTAACCAACTTAAGACCACCAACGACAGCTGCAAATGAGAAAAGCCAAGCTAATATTCATCCCCGTTCCAGGAATTGGTCACCTGGTGCCTATTTTAGAGTTTGCAGAGCGGCTGTTTGATCGATATGATCAATTTTCAGTAACAGTTCTTGTCATTCCATCATCATTTGTCCCTGATTCAGACGCAGATACAAAAACTCTAGCTGCATCATCCGATTCTCGGATACAATATGTCAAGCTTCCTCGATGTGATCCTCCTTCGCTAGATCTTTTCTATAAATCACCAGAAAAATTTTTCACTACTTTTTTAGAGAGCCAAAGCCCACGCCAAAGAAGCTATAATCAACCTTGTTTTGCCTGATTCAACCTCCAACTCAGTTCTAGTCGTTGGCTTGGTTTTGGACTTCTTTTGTACCGCCATGATTGACATAGGGAAAGAACTTGGAATTCCTTCGTACTTGTTTTCCGCCTCGTGTGCAGCGTTTCTTAGCCTCATGTTCGACCTTCCAACTAGACATGATCAGGCTGGTCGTGAGTTTGAGGAATCAGAGCCTGAGTCAATCATCCCAGGTTATGCAAAACCTGTACCTACTGGTGTTTTGCCCTCCTTTTTATTTAACAAGCATGGGGGCTACCTTTCATTGCTAGAACATGCAAGAAGATTCAAGGAGGTTGAAGGTATTATTATAAATTCATTTGAACTGCTTGAAACACATGCGTTCAAGTCTTTGATGGAATGTTCTATTTCTACACCATCTACCCGGTTGGTTCACTGGTCAGTCTCAAGGGTCTGAAGATTTTACAGATTGACAAAGCTGAAAACAATGAGATCTTGGGATGGCTTGATCAACAGCCTCCATCATCAGTAGTTTTCTTGTTCTTCGGAAGCTTAGGGAGTTTTGATGAGCCCCAAGTAAGCGAAATTGCATGTGGGCTCGAGCGTAGGGAGTTCAGATTCCTGTGGTCAGTGCGCAAGGCGCCAGCAAAGGGCGAATTCGAGGCACTAAGGGAGTACACCAACCTTGATTTAGAGGGCATCTTGCCAGATGGATTCTTGGAGAGAACAAAGAAGAAAGGGAGGATTTGCGGGTGTGCACCCCAAGCGGATGCCCTGGCCCATGTAGCAGTTGGAGGGTTTGTGTCGCACTGCGAGTGGAACTGTATCTTTGAGAGCTTGTGGAATGGGGTACCAATTGCAACATGGCCAATCTATTCAGGGCAACAAATGAATGCATTTCAGATGGTGAAAGATTTAGGGCTGGCTGTGGAGTTGAAGTTGGATTATAGGATGGGCAAGGGTAAGCTTGTGATGGCGGATGAGATAGAAAGAGCCGTTAGATGCGTGATGGATGGTGAAAGCGAGGTCAGATTGAGGATTAAGGAGATGGCTTAAAAGATTAGAGAAGCTGTGGTGGATGGTGGAACTTCATTTGCTTCATTCGGGGAATTGGTTAAGGTTATGCTGCGGTAATGCACTTCTTCAGCAAGTTTGGAACTCTGGAAAAAGCCTGCTTATTTGTGCTTAATTAATAAAAACCTTCCTCAGTCTCAAAACAGAACGGCTGACACTATTTACAGCATTTTGTTAGGGAAATGTTCATACAGATCTAGGTCTGGTTTGACATTGAGATTAAGTTGACAATTATTTGTTTAAAAAATTATAGAAACAAAATATTGTTCAAATACAAGTTTGGATTACAATTTTCTAACGATTTACAGGTGCAAAACTCTACTCCAAAGCTGGTCTTTAAAATTTAAGACTTAAGACTTGGAGCAATAGTGAGGTTGTGACCTATGACCTCTTGGTATCCGCAGTTTTCGAGGTACAGATGCCCTGTCTTCAAGTCTTGATACTTTGCAAACATTAAAAAAGAGATGGCCACGAAGATAATTGTAATTCTCACTGCTGTTTTTCTACATAACGCTGTTGAAATTAACACTATTCAGTACCTTGCTTAAGAACACAAGGTACAACTGATGGAAACAGAAATTACAATTACGATTAATATCTTTGGTATACTGCTTTGTCTACAAGGCAAGTTCATGAAAATCAATTTCTAAGACTACAAACATCATTTTTACTTCTCACAGCAAACTATTGGCACAAAGTCAAGTGATCACAAATAAAACTAATAACAATGATCCAATTTGAAGGGCTTCAGTTGTACGAGCACATGAAGATGTGAAAACTTGCAACTAGAGAGCAACATTTACACCACCCGTTCCCAACGTTGCTAATGCCACGAAGACCAAGGGAAGCTGAACCATTCACTTAGGAAAATCTTTGCTCTCTTTAGCCTTCCTCCCAATCTACATCATCCTCATCATCTCCAGAGGCTTCCGCTTCAACATTCAAGTCATTAACCTTATAACTCTCAGTTGTATTGCCTGAAATTGCATATAGCAAATTATTTTATAGGGAATACACAAATATCATCATCATAATGAAATTATGATTAGGACAAATTTTGTATCAAAAAGATGTATGGGGCATGAGGATTGAAGTTATATCAACTTGCCTCCATGACCGGCACAGAAAGTTAATGGGAATACTCAACTTGATTTACAGCAGATTATTTCTATGATTACTAACACACTTTAAATGGCAACAAAAATCCTATAACATGCACATGGACATGAGTTAAATATTTCAACAGAGCACAGGAAGACAGAAATTTCCCCCCTACCAGTAGGTATACTATACATATCCTATTGTAAATTAAGAAATAACATGCCCGTATATATGTATATACAGTAACTGTTTGCAGGGAAAACCACAGTAGGCAGTGATCAATTATGTAAACAACTATCTACTGCAATTCTGCACGCCTTGAATAGCATTCAAGGTGAAACTTTTTGAGGCCAAAAAAAAATCAAACTTTCTAAAAGTTTAAGAAATAATGATCCTATGCATGTATACAATCTGGTCATTATTTTTGATGTTGATTGATAGGAAAGTATTAGCAACATTATGTACAATTAAAATATCCTGCTATTAGATAAAACTGAAAATTTTGCTCCCGAAACTAACTATTTGTTTTTATTTATATAGTACTAAGTTAATAGCTGATAAAAATTGTTATGACTCAATTTATGGATTTTGTCCAAAAAAAACACCATTTAGGGAAAATTTGACGTATTCTTTAAATTTAACTAAATTTAATGAATTGTTTGATACCCAAAAATGTTGATTTTTAAAAATTATTAGTTTTCCACTCTATACGTAAGTACTCAATTTGATATAAAATATGAAAATAGATAACACTATGAATTACAATAAAACACGGGAAAATGGAATTAAATTATATTTGATGGCTTACCCATAAATTATTGGTTTGGTTAAATATATTCTAAGATTTAGGAGTAAATTCCAATTGCACGGTTTTCAAAGATTTTTTGCTTATTAAATATTCTTTTAAATGGTTAGTTATATGAACAAGAACAACCAAGGATGATAACAATTTCAAGTAGTTTAAACATTTAATTTTCAGCAGTTTTCGTCGTCATCCAATAGCAACCAAGTTATATTCTGAATACAAAACAAAATAAAGCATTTACCTGCAACAGGGGCTTCTTCCCAATCAATATCATCATCTCCCTCATCGTCATCACGTTTAACTTTCATGCCAACTTGACGCTTGGAAGAGTCAGAATGACTACTGGCAAGAGGAATGTCTGATAATTCTTCTTGTTTCTTAGCAGCTTCTTCTAGTTCTTGTTGTTTCTTGTACAAAGCAGCATAATAGGCTTTAAGATACTCGTCCTTCAAGTTAACAGGAAAGCAAGTAAATTAAAAACTTTAATCAGAGAAAAAACAAAGAAAAAAAAATGATTCAAAGAACTAGATGGACATAGATAAAAAGAAGGAATCCATCTCATTCTACGTACCTGTAAATTCTTCTTATCATCAGTTTCAATAGTCGACTTCTTGTCTTCTGAAAAATCTGGTTGTGTTGAAGTGCCGTCTGTCTTGAACTCCTGCTTGACCTCTCCACGCTGTTCCTTTGTCAGGTTCATTCCTTGCTTTATCATCCAAGGTGGCAATACTTTCAAGGATGTGCCTGCACTTTCAGATTTGACATCTTCTTCCTTGCCATCAAGACCAGAAAAGGCAACTTCAACCTGCCAAGCAGGCCCAAGAAGCTTTAAAAACAATCGAAGTTGATGGTAGAACATCCAATATTTGAAATTGAAAAATGTTATGCCCAACACAATAGAGAAAAGTTTCTCGTAAAAATAGCAACAGAATATCCACACTCCCAAAAAGTACAAAGCATAGAAAATAGATAGTTTGGTTGAAGACTGATACATGACAGGAATAACTCCAGAGAGCTTCCAAAACAATTTCTCTTTGGAATAGTATGGTCTAAGCAGAAATCTGTTTCAGCACAAATGGTTGCTAAATGAGAAGCAGGGGCTTACTACCTTTCTCAAATGCGTCAGATGCCTTTAGTTAACTTAGCATTTTGCATGAAAAATCAACACACACAATTTAAGATTGTAAGCAAATTTGAACCTCCAAAAATTATTGATACATGACTACAAAAACGCATACAAAGAAAAAAAAAGTGTTAAGAGAGTTAAACTACAAATTTATACCAAAGTCTAGCATCAATATTACATAAATATTAGTACATTTTAAGCAGTTGCACCTGACATTAGACATCAAAGAGAAATACAGTTGGAAATCTTACCTTTGTCTCCCCAAGAAATGGCATAGGTGTTCCACCATAACCCTGAGAAGATCTGGAAGGATCATTAGAACCAGAATCACCATTTATTGCACGCCCAGCAGCACTTGCTCGAGCTTCCCATGCTTGTAGACTTCCAAATTCTGGAACAGGCAAATCTTTTACTCTGCTGAGTTGTTCCATTAGAGGTTTAAGCTGTACCTGCAGTCATATCATTATATCACCTCTTTAAAAATGGCCTACAAAATATACACCATGAAAAGACTGAAGTGACATAACTGTAAAACAAATGGATAGGGAAATAAGTTAAATGCAATGGAATTCAAACGATTAGTGCTGATGATCAAATTTGGTTGTAAAGGCTATTTAAAAAGAAAGTTTTGGCAATGTGAAAGAGATAAAGAATTTGAGGACAGGACAGTTTCGCAATGGCTTTTCTCCAAGCTCCCCAGAAGGTAGTAAAAATCAATATTAAGATTATATTTCCTTTTCATAATTCGTTCATACGAGGAGATTCAAGAGGAGCTTAAATGTCTCTTGGTGTTTGATCCTTAGATCAAGATTGCTGGAAATGAATAAAAGAGCATGCTAGCCATGTGAGTGGGATTATGGAATAACAGCTAACTCAGGAAAAGCTGCATTTCTCACTGCTTGTTTCTATGGTCATGAATGTTTAAATTCAGGTTAGTTAGCCACTATATAATTATAGAGAAGACCTATGATCATGTGTCATGGTGCTTGAGTGATCCGAGATAGGGACATCAAGCAGAATGTACTGACTGCATCTCTAAGAGCCATTTCTCCATTGTTGCCATTATAACAGGGTAAGCCTCTTAGCCCTTTCTATTTATTTTGTAAACGAATGATTGTTTAGAATTTCAAGCAAAATATTTATTTGAAAGTACAAGAAAGAATTTAAAAATAATTTTGGAGGTTATTCTGCATAACAAATATTATTTAAATTAGAGGCTTTAATTTCTTTCAGAGCTTATGTGCTATAGGGATAGTTAATTTGTTTGACTGTTTCCAATTAGATGGTTGTTGAGAGCTTTTATGGTTATACTAATTACTGTATTTAAGCTCGGATTCAAGTCAACTTTTATATACCTGTAATGACCAGGCTTATCTAATAAACTAGCATTTTAGGATTAACTAACCTGGTTGCCAAGCTTAAGGGCATAAATAGTCACTGTAATTTGCCTTGAATAAACCTTGGTCATTGTTTTATGTTTGTTCATTGCTTCCATAGTTTTTGTGTCTAGATTTAAAATGTGTAGCTTGCAGTACTCAATCCGTCATTCAAAAGAAAATTGAAGAAAAGCACATCTGCAACTTCTTTCAGCCTTAAATAAAATTCTTCCAGGTTTACTACCTCTCATGGTGACTTTTCAGGCTATCTAATGGACACTCTCAGCAGACTACCAACCTAATTTCTTCAGTAGCCCTTGTGGAATTAAAAAGAGCAGGAAGTTGTTCCCTTAATTCACATCTTTTCAACAGGATTTAATCAGGTGTTTTTTCACCTTTGAAAATGTTTCCAGGTTCAAAGTAAAACTGAGAAACAGTGAACTTGTATCAGTATGAAGGTGTTGAGGATGGCACTGATTCAGTGAGTAGTTTAGGAACATTCCCAAATCTCCTTCAAGATTTTCATCTCCACTGCTACTACGGTTAAAGATGCTATTAACCAGAGATAGAAGAAGTAACCTGTTGCACGGAGGGAATAACATTCTAAGGGGCAAAGAGCTATGCTTACCAGAGATAGAAGAAGTTAACGGACTATATTAGAAGACAAGATACACAGAAATACCATTTAATAAGGTAGAAAAGATGAGTTTAAACATCACCCAGCACAGGTGACAAAGGTGTAAGACAATGAAGGTAGGTTGTCCACAAAGCGAGAATCAAAGAAGCTGGACTATTTCACCATTGTTCCAAATATAGGGCAGCACAGCAGCAGGCTATTAGGACTCGATAGGATGCTTTTGCAAGAAACATCTTCTGAAGTCAATGACAGGGTAAAGGTTTTTGTTTGGAAGGATAATTAGAATGCAAAATGCAGAGGAAGGATTGAAAGGTGAGTTTCCTGATTTATCTTTCAGTGTGGAAGGTATGGAAACTTCATTACTTCTTCCCTTTAGTGTCTGCTAAGGTATGGTCAATGTTCTGTTCTCCCTTTATGATTGCTTGAGCAATGCTAAAAACAAAGACTAATCAGCAGGCTAGTTGGAGAGGTATTGATGCCAATGCCTCAACTATTGATAATAATCAGTATTTTCTGATGTAAAGACTCCAATTCCACTTCATTTTCCATTTTCTCCAGTTCATTTTACTGGTGTTATTTTACTATTTTCTCCCTGTTCTATTCTTGTAGGATTCCCTTGTTTGACAAGCAAGTAAACAAATAAAAGCACATATAATCAACAAAAACTTGAACTATTATTGAAAAGAGTAGCAAAACAGTAATATGTAATAAATTTGACAAAAACATCAAAAATAAAGTCAAGAATAAGATGTGCATGCATTAAGTCTTGAGAAGATGAACAGTGGAGAAACCAGATTACAACAACTCAGTGGAGAAACCAGATTACAACAACTCTCCTGATACATTCATCCATTAAAGGTGAAAGGATTCAGCACTATTGTGCATGAATAAAATAGAAAACCATTGACAAAGAAAACAACAAACACAAAAAAATTAATAAATTCCAACAGGAAAGATTAGCAGAATTAGAATCATTTTCTCTGTTGCATACAAACCAAAGCTTAATGTTTGCATGGCCTTGACTCCACCGCTTTGAACACCTAGCAATTCAAAGGACACAAAAAGCTAGGTGTCTATATTTCTATTTTGCCCACAAGTTCTTTACATAGCTTTTAGAAAAGCATTGACAAGTGGGAACCCTCCTGGACCAGTGTCATCCAACATGGTAGAAGCAACCAGCAAAAACTAAAAAAGAACACTTCAAGGTGGGCACAGTAAACTCCATACAACAGATCATGTTCTCCTTACCCCTCCAAATTGAATAATATGTGTTTCCTATATACGCACAATAGACTAACAGCAACAGGGATTTCCACAAAGAATCACTATTTCTCAATTTAGGTTCCTTTTTTTCCCTTTCAAGAAGAATTCAAATGAAACACCAGATTCCTTCACCATCAGAAGCCAAGGACAAATAATTAAGCTAAATTTCAGTGGACCTCATTGATTTGAGCCAATGTTAATATTTGAACCTTTAATAAAGTCCAATAATATCCAAAGCAAATATGGCCAGTAGAAGGGATCTTTATATTAATTACATGCTTTTCACATGCAAGGTGTACTTAAAAAATCTGTGAACCTACTAAAATTTTGTCAACTTACTCACAAAGGGATTAACTTCCTTATTTCAATAGATTCACATAATAGATCAAGCACAAATGAAATACACAATATAAGCTAACAAAAATAGGAAATTTTACGAAAAAAATACCTCCATTTTTTGAAGCATGTCCTTCAATTTTTCACGTCGCCGTCGTCTTGCATTGTCATCTCCATCTCCTACATCTTGTGCTGCTAACTTGTCACTCTCTGCCACCAATTCACCATTACATCTTTCACAGTGAAAATATTCATCCTCCAAGGAAACCAATCGCAATGCATCCAAAGCATTGTATCTGAAGACATGATACCAGGACACCTTCAATAGCCAAATATGCATTTAAAATGACCCAAGGAAAGAAAAAACAGAAGAAAAGGAAGAGGAAAGAGAAAGGCAGTGGCAGAAACCTTTTTCCACAGTTAGGGCACACATACTCCTGTACAGTATTCTTGTCCTCGAGCTCATCCTTTAGTTTTTTCTTCATACGATGCAGTCTATACCTAACAACATCATATATCTACAAAACACATTGCTTCAGGAATTTCACAAACTCAGAACCCAGAATCTGCTCTGAAATGGATAAAAGGCAAAGAGGTCTAATGCCTTAGCTATCCAATCCGGTATGATCATATTAATCAATGCTTAACAGAATTGGAAAAAACAAAAAATGAAAAGAAATAAAATAGCAACCTGTGCATAATCCAGACAACAATAAGAGTGAGTGTGCAATTTAATCTTCTCCTCTCCCTCTTTTCCACCATGTTGAACATCAACTGTCGCAGCTACCGCAGCACTATATATCTTTGCTCCTTTAGCCGTCTGTGACCAAACCAAACATCAGTATGCAGGCAAAAACAAAAGAAGGGTTCAATACAACCAAAAACTTGTTCACAATAAATGGAAACTAGACTTTTGGCCACTAACACAATACCACTATGCCTCAATTCCATGAGAAAATAAGGTACAACTGAAAATAAAAACAAGGGAAAAGAAAGTGATCTTCAATCCTTTTACATCCTGAGTGTATGTTTGAAACTTAATAAAGACCAAGAACATGATGATTCAGTAAAAATACAAAACAAAAAATCTACCTACAAAATCAAGCAGAGTGACAACTATGAAACATCAGTACAGGGGAAGAAAAAAGAAAAGAAGAGGAACTATATCAGACACTAACCTCTCTCCTATGATCACGGGTGACTAGTTTTTCTTCCTCAAATAGCCGTAGAGTCCGCCGAAGTTGCTTTGAATGTAGTTTCAACTCCTTTGCCAAATCTTCTTCCCTAACCCATTGTCTCCTAGACATGAAAGCAAAAATTTTTAATTACAATAACAGAATGAAGTGGCTTGCACATTGTAAGCCTAAAGCGCAACTTAAACAAGCAGGCATAATATTGTAAGCAAAAGGAATTATTCTTCAAGACAAATATATTTGCCATCACAACATAACTACAAATATAATACCAAAATTATAAAATATTATCCTCATAGCACAGACTCCTAGTTGAACTAAAAGAACACTTCCCAAAGTGTTTAGCCTAGTCTAACACTTCAGTTTCACCATATTATGCCTATTACAAAAAAATCACTCAAATGCCTCGCGCTTCAATGTCCAAAATTTTGGATGCTTCTAAATGTGCTTTCTTTCGAGACAAGATCACAACTTCAACTGTAAAAGTCTTTTCTAAAACTCTATTTTAAATTATAAATGCACCACAGACATTTCTACTTTTAATTCAATAAGTCTTAATTTCAACTAAAAAAGAATAACTTGAATGCTACCTTCCCCATATCTCCTACTAACAAAAGCATATTTTTCCCCTATTCCTTCCCTTGCTATTAGAAACAAAACCGTCTTTAATAGTTTGCAAGAGATAAAATAAGAAACAGTTACCTTGTAAGAGCATCAAGCACTACTACAGCAATCCCTCTATTATCCCCCCGACCAGTCTTCGGCTGATTATCTCCTTTAGTTGTCACATCATCATAAAACGCGCGAGCTGCAAGTTTCACCAACCTGTTTTTCCAGCTTCAATTTCAATCAAGACACAAAATAATAGGCAAAGACCAACCCCGTTTCCTGATACCCTCTATTGCCCAGATTTGAAGTAAACGCATACCTGTTAAATGGCTCAATACTCATCTTGTTCAGGGGTAGGCTTTAAAGATTTCTTGGTAATTGCCCAAATTCAATTTGCATCACGTAATCTGTTTGCGCAAAAGGAACAGCATCAGATAATCAAAAGTATAGCTATCCAGATCCAGAGTGACGGGGTTCGAAAGAGGGGATGGGGCGGATTGTCAATAAAGCAAGGATCGAGGCACAAACCGTCGGGAAGTTCACCCAGAAAACCCTGATTGTCTTTTCTATGTGGACAGACACGGTAAACGTAATAATTTCATTCACTATCAACGATTGGAGAACTACCCGTTAAGAAGAAAAGGTAATGGTTGCTGCGATGCGGCTAAATTTTGATGGAATGTAAGCTAAAATGTAAAAGGCGGCCCGAAGCTAGTAGGCGAAACGGCGCTTGATTGCCAAAGGATGCGTGCGCGATGTGCCCGGCTGATGGAGAGAGCGGCTGTCTCAGCTTATTGCGCGGCTCTTGGCTTCATAAAGAAAAATAAATAATACTAATTAAAAGTAAATTGCTTATTCTACAAGTTTTAAAAATAAAAATATACATAATTTTTTTCAGATATAATATAAGTAAAACTATAGATTTTTATATCTATAAAGTTATAATTAATAAATTAAAGGAATATTATAATTAATAAAAGTTTAATATATAGAGGACAACTTTGAAGCGATTTCATTACTCCGTGTGCTCAAAGCTGACCCATTGAGCTTATGCAAGCTTAAAAAGACAGATCTTAATAAAAAAATGTAATACATATAATAATATATTTTTAAATTTTTTAATATTTTTAATTTGATAATAATAATAGACATAATATTTATAAAAAAATTTTAAATAATTCAAAAATATTTAAATAAATTTTTATTCTTTTACTACATTTACTCAAGTTTTTTACTTCTATTTTTGAATCAAATAAATTTTTATATTTTATTTTAAATTAAATTAATTTTTATCATTATTAATTAATTTAATTTAAATATCTCTAATTATTTAATATCATATAATATTGACATGATATATAAGAATATCATAATTAATAATTATGTTATATGTTAATATATCATAACTGATAATAATGTGATATGTTAATACGGTATGATAATATAATTACGTAACAATTTTTACTTTTAATATTAATATGTAAATGTTATATAAGTATAAAATAATAAATAATATTTTAATTAATAAAAATTAATCAAACATTAATTATATATTTATTTAATTTAAAATAAAATTATAAAAACTTGATTAAATGAAATAAAAAACATAAAGATTCATTTAAATTTTTTTAAATAATTTAAAAATGTTTTCAGGCATTATACTATAATAATGTTATAAAATCTCTATTGCTAAGAGAAGTTTCCACGCAGCTGGAAGTTTCTCGTAAAAACTATTTAAATGGAAATTGAAATTGACGTGCCTTAATGAAAAAGGTGAACCAGTTCCAGCCATGACATAAAATGTATCGCAAAGACAAGCTTAATTTTTTATTTTCTTCTCAACTATTCTGTTCTTATGGTATATGCTGTGTGGCGCTGTTTTCCTTAACTTTAACTTCTTGAATAAAAATCAAATTTAGACGTTGAGTAGAGCATTCAGTGATTCGATTTTGTAGATCTGTCATGGTTAAAAACTAAATTAATCAAAAAATTTTAAAAGTTGATTAAATTGACCGAGTTCTCGAACCAACTGAAACAATTAAAAATTAAAATAATTTGATCTGTTAATCATACACCAAATAATATAAACTGCATTTATATTAAATATTAATATTAATTGTGAGTTTGGTGGCATGAATCAAGTGACACCAACTTAGGTGGTAAAATTATTTAATTTGTTAAAAAATATAATTATAAATTCTTTGGTATGCTTAAGAAAAAAAAGTAATCTTTGAAAAAAATTCAAATTATTTAATTAGTTTTTGCATTTTATCGAAATGATAGACTTAATCTTTGTATAATTATTGTAAAAGTTAAGTCATTATAGTTTTTAAAATTGACAATATCAATTTGTGTGTTAAAACATTTCTATTATCTATACTAATATAGAATTTGATTGTATTGATGTGATTTTTTTTTATTAATATGATATTAAATTTGATAACATGACAATGATGATATAACATTTTATCAATGATATGACGTGACTTAATTTTAACATAAATTTTATAAGTATAAACATGAAATTATCTAATGTGAGTTAATGGTTTTAAATAAAATTAGAAAAGAAAACAAGTTAAAATTATGAATAAGTTTCTAAGATTTAAGATAAGAGTGTATTTAATTTCTGTGTTACATAGTTTAAAGTAGTGAAAAGAGTGCTGTAAAATAGATAAAAAAAATTTTATATTATTTTAACATATTATCATATTCAATATCACGTTAATAAGAAATTATTATATTAATATAAATAATAAAAAAAATTTAATATTGTTAATAATTAGATTGATATTATTAATTTTAAAAAAATATAAAATTAAATTTTATAAATTATTATATACGAACTAAATCTACAATTTTACCATAATATAGAAACTAATTACATAATTTAATAAAAAAAATCTATCAACTTTCTTTTTAACGTAACTTTTTCTCTCTCAAAATGCAATTTTTCATTTTTTTTCATTTTACAACACTATATTATTTAAGAATTAGATGAGCCAAATGTATATATAATTTTCAAATAAAAGACTTACAGATAAATTTTTATATTATTATTATTATGAAAAATTATAAAAATTATATTAAAAAAAAACTTGACGTGTACGTATGGTATAAGGAAAAAAAATTAAAGAATACAATTATACAAGTTTCTAGATACATTGCGTTCCTTGTTGACAGCTTCCCTCGTTATAAAAGGCGTATAACGCTAGCCCTAGCCTTCTCATCGCCAGAGGTTATATCAATTTTATCGATCCAAGTTTGTCAAACTTCTCTCCCATTCAAGGTAACATTTCGTCTCCTTCGAATTTCTGGTTCTGGTTATTTCCTGCTTCAAATTCATTTTACTTCTCTTTTCTGAATCTTTATATTTTGATTGATCTGGGCGCTGCAAATTAGTGGTTTTTTGTTTCTTTTATCAGGCCTTACTGACCAGGCTGTGATTAATCGAATCATATTCCTTTTTAATATGATTGATTTGTTTTGGTAAATCTATTGATATAGTGCATGACGGATAAGACTTTTCTTTCTCTTTAATTTGTTGGTTGAATCTTGTTATTTTCAATCCGTGTAATTTGGGCAAAAGAGTTCTAATATTCAAATGAAAAGACAAGCTTTTGATTGCTCCTTTGAATATTGTGATCTGTTTTAGATACTATGTATTTTTAGATTGGTTTTTCAAGATCATTTTATAAACTGATATTGATCATGGGTTGCTTTTGTTTTCATCTTCTAAGTTCCTCCCTTAATCAATAGAATCTAGGCTCTTGATTTGTTTTTCTGAATTTTGGCAATTTCCAACAGTTTTTTTCTTTAATAATTGTTAGGTTTTCCTTAGTCAAAGAACTTTTCTTTACCTTTCTCTCATTTCCTATCTTGTTTTTTTTTTTTCTAAGAGTTTTTTGCAAATATATTTATGATCACCAGGGCATTTTCATTTTAGTTTCTAACCTTTTGTTAATTCTTTGACCGACCAGATGCAAATCTTTGTGAAAACCCTTACAGGCAAGACCATCACCCTTGAGGTTGAGAGCTCTGACACTATTGACAATGTCAAGGCTAAGATCCAAGACAAGGAAGGAATCCCTCCCGACCAGCAAAGGCTTATTTTTGCTGGCAAACAGCTTGAAGATGGCCGAACCCTAGCTGACTATAACATCCAGAAGGAGTCCACCCTCCACTTGGTGCTTCGGCTCCGTGGTGGTATGCAAATCTTTGTCAAGACTCTCACAGGAAAGACTATCACCTTGGAGGTTGAGAGCTCTGACACTATTGATAATGTCAAGGCTAAGATCCAAGACAAGGAAGGAATCCCTCCTGACCAACAAAGGCTTATTTTTGCTGGCAAACAGCTTGAAGATGGCCGAACCCTAGCTGACTATAACATCCAGAAGGAGTCCACCCTCCATTTGGTGCTTCGTCTCCGTGGTGGTATGCAAATCTTTGTCAAGACACTCACAGGAAAGACTATCACCTTGGAGGTTGAGAGCTCTGATACAATTGATAATGTCAAAGCTAAGATCCAAGACAAGGAAGGAATCCCTCCTGATCAACAAAGGCTTATCTTTGCTGGCAAACAGCTTGAAGACGGTCGCACCCTAGCTGACTATAACATCCA